CTGCTTTAATTTCCTCCCTCACCATACTGTCACTGGTAATTAATACTCCTAGGTATTTATAATGTTTAACTGATTTATGATTATGGTCTACTACATAAACTCCCTTTTTCTCTCATCAGTTCATAATCATATATTTGATTTTATCTTCATTAGTCTTAAGAGCCATTTTTCTTGTAGCTCCCTTCCAATCTCCAGTCATCCTTAGAACCATATCATCTGTCTCTCCTATGATAGGCAATGCATAGTTCAGCATATACAAAATGGTGGGGGAGGCAATTTCCATTCACCCCATCTTGAGAATTTTGCAATCATCATGCCACCTTTTTTCCAACAGCAACATTAAAGACAAAGGAAATGATTGTTTTGTCAGAGGAAGTTTAGTAGATTTAAGCTACCTGGATTTCAGGAAGGCATTTGATAAAAAAAAAAAAAAAAATAAATAAAATGAATGGAGATTGCATATCTCCTTGAACTGGAAGGGACTTTGAAGGGTCATTGAGTCAAGTCCCCTGCCTTCACAGCAGGACCAAGTACCATTCCAGACAGAATTTTGCCCCAAATGGCCTCCTCAAGGATTAAACTCACAACCCTGGGTTTAGCAGGCCAATGCTCAAACCACTGAGCTATCCCTCCCCCCATAGATAGAATTCCACATGGGAAATTATTGGAGAAAATAAGGATTAATGTGAGTATTGAAAGGGGGAGGAAGAACTTATTAAAGGGGAGACTACAACCGTTCATACTGAAAAGTGAACTGTCACGCTGGAGGAAGCTTACTAATGGATTTCCTCAGAAATAGGTCTTGGGACCAATTTTCTTTAACATTTTTATTACTAGCCTTGGCACAAAAAGTGAAACCGTGCTAACAACTTTAACAACCTGGGAATTTTTAATAAAAGTTAGGGACATGTTCAGGCTTCTGTGAATTTTTATTAGTGTGACTTTTATTAAAAATAGCCATTACAAAATCTTAACTAACTACTACACGAGACAGCAGTGAGACCTCATCTGGAGGAGACTCAAAAGAGCTTGGCCATCAACAAGCTGAAATTAGGCCAAGATTTCTCACTATCAGAGAAGAACAATTCTGGAACAACCATTCTAGGTAAGCAGTGACAGTAAAAAACATGAGGAATTCTCTAACAGGGTTGCCTACATTGGTATGTGGCCCATTAGCAACTGATAATAACAAAAATCCCCAAAGACCGGAGATGGAACACTAAATGGGGAGAGATATAAGTTTCCAAAGAGAATTATTTCCCACATGTCAGGCTGGTGGATCTTGCCCATATGCTTGGGGTCTTATTGATTACAGTAGTTGGTGGTGGGAAGGAATTTCCCCCAGGTCAAATTAGGAGAGACCTTGAGGTTATTTGGCCTTTTTCTACAGCATGGAGAATGGGTCACTTGCTGGTTTAAACTTGTATAAATCTTGAAGTATTTAAATCATGATTTAAGGACTTTAGTAACTCAGCCAGAGGTTAGAGGCCTATTATAGGAGCAGGTAGATGATTTTCTGTTGCCTGCAATATGTAGTAGCTCATACTAAATGATAACCATGGTCTCATCTGACCTTAAAGTCTAGGTACCAGGAATAATGCATAGTTCAGCCTTGCTCTAGTACTGATGTCAAATAGGGATGAGATTTCATTCTCTATTCATACTCTATTTTTTTGAACCACAAATTCAAGTATCTGATGAATTGAAAATATTTCATTCACAGTGGATCGATTTTTTCAGAATCCATAATGATAATTTCCTTCTATCACCTCAGTGTAAGAATGAAGTTTATCTTTGGGTATGTCTATCCTACAGTGTTATTTTGAAATATCTTATTTTGAAATAGCATTTTGCTATTTCGAAATAGCACATCCACACTGAGTGGACTCTGAATCGCATTTAAGGTTGGCCGGGACCACTTCCAGCAGGGCACCAGGTCAGGACTTAATGCTGCTGTCTGAGGCTATCTGAGGTCTGTGCTTAAAGGCCCGCACACACACCCCCAGACAGCCAGTTGTCAGCTTTCCCTGCTTGCTTGTCTACCTCGATGAGGGACAGAAAAGCATTTTGTCTGTGCATGCTCTGGTTGCCCTCACTCAGGACACCACAGCATTGTGCAACATGGAGCCAGAGCTGCCCTGGGCACTCTGGTGCTTTTCGTGGACGCGCTGCTGTGATCCTGTCTGAACTTTCTGCAGGCTGCCATCTGAGAGGTCCATCAGGGGGCTGTCAGTATCCAGGAGGCCCTGCGGGAGAGCTTCCATCCTGAGGAGCCCTCAGTCTCCCTGGTGTGCCCCACTAGGGGCTTGTGCCTCATTCCTCTCTCACATCCTTCCACTTATCCCTCCCTAACCCCCCTTCCTGATGTTAAATAAAATACATGTATTTTCATGAATATAAAGTCTCTTTAACAAAACTGGGGGGAGGGAATGAAACTCTGGTGAGACTGGGGAAAGGAGACGGGAGAGAGGAGAAGAGAAGGTGGGAGAGGGGAGGGGGAAACCTGGGAGGAAGGAGCTGGAATGGGGAAGCAAGGGGAAAAAGGGGGAGAGGAAGCTCAGGGCTCAGGGGTGGGCGTCTCGCGAGACCAACTTGATTGTCATGCAAACCTGCTCCTGGGTTCGCATGTGACCTTTGGTGGTCAGGCTGGCAGCTATCTTGCCATAGACGGCCTTGTTCCTCAATCTAGTGCTGAGATCATGGACATTGTGGGTAGACTGCTCCTGGGGAGTGGTGGAGGGCTGACTGCCAGTGGCTTGCTGGCTCATGTTTTGGAGCCACTGGGTGAGGGGCAGTGACTGCTGGCTCTGGGCTGACAGTCTTGGAGCTGGCACAGGCACTGTGGCCAGAGTCTACCCCTTTAAGGGCTCGGGGGAGAGGGGGAGGGAGAGGAATATTCTTGGTTGAGGCTGGAGTGACCACCATGGCACCCTGGGAAGGCTGGAGGCCCCCTATTTTGAAATAGCTATTTCGAATTTGGCATTATTCCTCGTAGAATGAGGTTTACCAAATTCAAAATAAGTTTGGCTGTGTAGATGCTAGGAAAGTTATTTCGAAATAAGGGCTGTTATTTCTAAATAACTTTGCTGTGTAGACATACCCTAAAAGTATCAATGGCATGATTTTATAGGCAGTTAAGAGTCCCTACATTTCATTTTATCTCCCATTTCTTGACTTTCTAAAAACAAATGCTTCCAATGCTAGACACATTTTTCCATTCCTTCTGCCTATTGACATAAGTGCAGTCCCAGAAATCCCTAGTTTTGAAAGGTTCTACCTTTAGCTCAGCAACTTCATTATCAAGCAGCTATAGTACATGCATTCACAAATTACCCTTCTCACCTGCACCTGTTCCATCCTACACAATACTGCAATCAATGCGAAATGCAAAGACAGAGAACTGTAAATTGGTATAGCAACTCTAAGCCATACACAATGTTACAGATACACACAGCTGTATATCTGAAGAACCATGAAAAGGCCAACATGAAAGCCATAAGTGATGTTCAAGAAATGTACATGACTTAATAGGAAAGGGGCCTGGGCCAGATGAGGCAATAGCTTGCCATTTTTAGAGTTGCCAATAGTTACTAGGGATGTTCTCTCTAAGGTTCAGATAGCACTCAAAATATTATTCTCTTTGTCCTGGATGTCACATAGTAACATTTCTCTCAGCATATAGAATAGTACTCAAGACTCTCAAGATAATGTTGCAAATGCATAAATATTAACACTGCTACATACTAAGATCCTATATCTTATTTATGCTAAGGCCCCTTTAGATTGCCCAAGTACTGCTGCCCTCCCTCTGGATTCTGTCATGGAGAGTCATGCCCTTTGTTAGATTACACTTAGTATATTTCTGGCCAGCATGATCCTCTCAGCTACCTTCCAGTCCTTGCCTGTTCTTAGCTACGGTACTCATGGTGTGTGCCCACCCCATGTACAGATGAATGAAGAAACAATGAGGGCTATTTCGCAAAGGATTCCGGGAACTATCCTTTTACAAAAATGAATAAATTCAAACCAAAATCTCAGAGGGTCTGTTCTCTCCTGACTTACTAGATGGGATTTAATAATCCATTACAAATATTGTATGTTGCAATGAATATTAACACCAGTAAGTGCTTTTGTTCTTTCCAAGAACTAGGTTTAAGCTGCATAGTAACTGTGCTTTCCTAGCATTACAAAAGAGGATTTCTGAGTGTTTAGAACTTGCACTGCTTACCAAAGCAGTGCTCATGTACACCACAATGGTAATGTGAATGGTACAGCACACAGCTCACTGTATAGTTGTTCTGGGGATCAAAGGGCTTCGCAGGTTATTCCAAAATGTGCATTAGAAATGAGCTTTTTATACGGGCCTATTCTGGAGCAGATGAGCTGAGCTTTTATCATGAGTCAAAAACATATTTCAGCTGCTTTTCAACCACATTTCAAAGCTCAAGAGAATAAAAAGAGGTATCATATCAGTAAATTAGGTGCCTAAATTGTCTGTTGTGTTACTGAAAAAATACCATGAATAATAATAAGGAGGCCAAAAGGCTGTGTAAATCTCAATAGAAAGAATGCCTTTGATGTGAAACATTTCTCTCTCTTTCACTTCAAAAGCTGTAGAATCCAAACTGAACAACAGCATTTAAAAGCCTGCATGGATACTAACCAATCTAACTTCACTTTATTGGAGTGCACTTCACTGAAGCTACAAGAAACCTCTGGACAGACTTTTAAGCCTTTCTGCACCCTCTCTCTAGACAGAATGGTACAGTACATGCATGGAGAGAACAATGATGAGCATACCATAAATGTCTGATAATGTAGGTAGATTAGGTATTATTCTTCGTTTCAACTGGATATTTTCCAAATCCTTTTCAGTAGTATGCTATCCTCACAGTACTGTGCCCAGACACATGTGATAGAGGAGCTATACTAATTTGTCATTGATTCACTTGTGAACACCAACTTAATGGTGCCAAATCAGTGGACTGCACAACCTCTACAACTCCCTCCATCACTCCCTACAAAGAAGTGTGAGTGAATGACTGGTAGAGAACGATAAAAAGAGATCCTAGTGTATTGGGTTACCTTGGCTGAGCAAGTGGTTTCAGTCAGCCACGTACTTCTAAGCAAAATAGCCCAGAGCAGCTGCCTTACCTTTTGGAGCCTTAAACACTAAATCACTGGCAAGCCTTCTCTTTTCATTCTTTTAAACTGATTCTATCCCATGCTGATGTCACAAAGATTGTGGATGGAAGCTACAATCAGTAATACACTAAATTCTCTCTGTCTGTGTAAGGAAAGACACACCCATATCAGCATAGTCATGAATTGTTCTCATTGCATTTAAAGTACAAGATTCAAAATGTAACTGTCAGGAGGGTTATGTTTTCCTAGGTACCTCTTTAAGACTCACTGTATAATTAAAATTCTATTCATGGAAAAGCAATCTGAAAAATCCACTGATCCACAAATTAAGGCTATCTTGTTTTATACTGCAATGCAATTAAACATCTTGTATGGGAGAAAAACAGGAAGACCAGCGGTAATTCTAAATGCCAAATTACATTGTAAAAACCCTGAATTTTCATTTTGGACTTTTCCCAGAAGCTTTTTCTTAAGGAAAGAAAAGGGAACATTTAGAAACATACACAATACAGAATCTGCTTGAAATTCTTCAGGGAAATGAGAGCATGATATCCCACTAAATTGGCACCAGCTCAAATTGTGTTTCTGCAAGACTAATGAAATGAGAAATGTTGTTTCAAGCTTCATGCCATGTCAGAGAATATAAAACTAAAATGCCCTTGAGTTAATCAGAACAGTCTATTCAGCATAATTTGCCCATTCCAAAAGGCTAGAGAGCAGGGTAGAAACTGCTGTATATTGGGTAAGATTGCTCTGGATAATAGTGTGGACTTAATTGCTAAATTAGTAGGAAACTATAGTGAATATATGCATTCTGCACGAAAAATGCTGGTTTCTATTCACTCCAAAACATATGCTTTACATTTAAAAAAATCCTGATTTATTAAGTATTTCTTTGAAGCTAAACGGAGGAAGCCAACAACAATACCTTCTTGCTATACTGTAACAGAATTCACAAAGTTACTTTTTGCAGACAATAAACAGAATAAATCCACACAGGAGACAGAGATAGGAGGCTATAGGAAATCTTTCTTGAAACGCTTATTGATATACTTCACTCTCTTCCATCATGCAATATCATGTGCTGTTGATCCTATTTTACCAACTCAAGCTGAAGTGAATAGACCCTTCTTTTTGCTTATTGCAGAAACTACTTTATCCTGATATAGGAGCATTCAGCAGCAATTCAATATAATGATCTCTTCTGCCAAATCACTGCTTCTTTTCCTTAAATACATGAGGTACTAATGGTGGTTAACTCAATTGTATTGGTATACTGAATGAGATCTTGGTGCTACCAATCAGATTATCATAGGCAGTAGAACTTACTATGCATTCTCCTGTGATGTCATCGCAGAACTCCGCATGACCAAAACATGTGCATGGTTCACAGATCCCACCGAAAATAGTGCCATTCACTCGTCTGTGTCTAGGCCAACAAGACTGCCAGAAAGACAAATTTACAATGTGACTATTTTTTTAAAGTTTTGAATTTGACACACACAGAAAATATATTTGTTAAATGTCTAAAAGTATTGAAATATTTATAGAAAGCTATTATTCCTAGCACTGTAGCTTTGCACTGACCTTAGCTTTATTGGTAGGTGTGAGATTAGAGGCAGTATTAACTTGATCTTTCTTCTGAAATGGTAAAATAAAGCAGAGGAATGAAGAATAGAAATGTGACAGTTTCAAAACAAGAGGTACAGACTGAAAAATAGCCAGAAGACAAAACACTGAAAGGGAGAGAGAAAAAAGCAAGGACCTTTTTTGAGAAGCTTAACTGCAAACAATTCACAACTAAAATACCCTCCAAATTTAACAGGAGACGGTGTGAAATTACAACACAGGTTGAAAACAAAACATGCTCCTTTAACTGCAGTTTTAGTTCTTCATGAATGTATAATTGTTTCACTTCTGAAATTCTTTACTTTACATTTAGATCCAATAAATGCATTACTACATTATTCTTGGCAAAGGTAATGTGTTACAACTGATTCATTAGCAAAAATGCAGCTCTCTCTCTTATTCATAATAAGATGTCAAGCAGCAGTCTCTCTTACGATATGTTTCAAAAATAGCTTTATAGTTTTCACAAATTATCCTCCCTCTATAACGTTGTTCATGTGGTGCAGTGATTTTGCATGTTGTAAACAGGTGCATGACGCACTGTATTAACCGAGACAGCCAGCCTTATGTAAAGTAGAAGTTGCCTTACAGAAACAGAGCTATTTTAAAGAAAATTATCCTACATTTGTAACAATGTTTTCCAAACAACCTACTGTTGACAAGTGATCTCATTTCCCCTTTAAGGGGTGCTACTTTTTATTTTTATGTTTTTATAGCCATGTTCCTGTATAACATCAGATAGCTTTGAAGATTAATTAGAAAAGGAAGGATGTCTTTAAGAACACCTTGGTAAAGCGTGATATTGATGTTGACACCTGAAGAGGCAGATGGCAGATCAGGTAACTTGGGGGACAACCATCAAGAACAGTGCCTGACACTTTGTGTGTGTCTACACAGCACCCTTACCTCAAAATAGCTTATTTCGAAACTTGGCACCGACTACACAATGTCAATTTTCAAAATAAAGCACTATTCCGACCAGTCCCTTAACCCTCATGGAACGAGGGTTACAGGGATGCCAGGGTAGTGCACCTGTTATTTAAAAATAGATTGTGAAATAATGGGCATGTTTAAAGATCCAGAATTGTTATTTCAGGGTACTCTGGTATCCTGAAATAGCCCCGCTGTCTAGACGTAGCCAAAGGGATCAAGCATCGTCTTCGTGAAGATCAGAGAGCCCGACATAAAGATCATGCTCAGGCCTACATCGGAGCTGCTGGGGTCGGCGCCAGTGGAAACCTCATGTGCAGCCACAGCCAGAGAATGCTTCTTGCCAGAATTAGCCCAATTTCTCATCTTCGCAATCATGAGCTATAAGCATCCAAGGAGAAATCTTACTCAATTTGAGGGATCCCAGAGACAGAAAAGGAAGATTTTCTTTGAGGAACATTCCAGGAAAAGATGTTGGTTTTTTTTGTTGCTGTTTTGTTTTTGGCTAGGCATTTTTAATCAGCATTAACGGTAGATGTCAAATTAAGAACAAAAAGCCTTAACAAACAAAGAATTCTTTTTTCTTCTAGGCTAAGTCTAGACTACAAGACTCTTTCAAAAGTGTCTAGAATACAAGCAGATGTTTTGAAAAAGCGAGCCACTTTTTCAAAAGAGAGTCTATACGCTCTCTTTCAAAAAAAGCACAGTTTGCATTCAATAGTGCCTTTTTTCAAAAGAGTACTTTCGAAAAAAGGTGTTATTCCTTGTAAAATGAGGTTTACCGCGATCAAAAAAACCTGCAGCGTTCTTTCGATTTACTTTCGAAAGAACACGGCTGCAGTCTAGACACAGGTGACGTTTTTTCGAAAAAACCCGGTAGTCTAGATGTACCCTTAGCGTGCAAGATATGTCAGTAAGTTCTTTAACAGACATTTTCTATGTTCTAATCTTTCCTTCCTTTATTAAATGTATATGGAATTTTTAGTCTTTCTTAGAAACTTAATCTAAGATGAGAGGATTAGCAAGCATGAGCCACGTTGTACTATTTGAGGCTGATATTTTCAGTCATTCATGGGATGTAGATGCCTAATCCCAGCCTTATTTGGTGTTGAGAAAGCCACGACCAGGTTTAAAGCATAAACTGAAGAATCAGCATGGAAGAGCAGGAGAGAGTTTATGAGCTGAGATTTAAAGAGAGGAAATTACACTGATTCAGAGGGCAGGTGCTGAATCCAGTTTAATCATGGCAGCACAAGTGAGACACTGACTCCCCACAATGGAAAGCTATAAGGGAGGTCAGCAAAAAGCCAAAGCCAAGAGGAGGAGTAAGTATGCAAGGAAACAGGAGTATATAAGGTCAGAGGGTCACACGGGCAGAAATAGATGACGATCACAAGAATGAACACTTGCTTAGATTTTTAAAAATGGCTCCACTTCACTTGCTTCTTGTCACGAACACTTAACTGAACAATTTTCCCTGTGCAAATTCGTGTAGAAAGTGAATTTTAATCTCATGCTCTTGAATATTATCACTGGTGGTGAATTCTTTACTGGGGGACTGGACACATTTTAGCAGAGCAAAGAAACTGGGTTCCCCTAGATACTTCACTAGAGCATTAGTACAGGTGCAATTCAATGAGCCAGAAAAGTGTCTGACTTCAGCCTTTCACAACTACTTTTTCTTCTTAGGACTATTTATATTGAGGTCATGCCTGTTTACTAGTTGTATTGTGCGTGCACATGCAATTGCCTTGTAAACAGCATGAAAGAACGTCAAATTTAAAATCCGCACCATATTAATAAATCTATGGTAACCTCAGTTCTGAAAAAACGTATTAGCATTGGCAGTGCTGCCAAGAAAGAAAGAGGTTAAAAGTTCATTAAAATCCTGTTTAACTGCACTCTCTCAGCTGCTTTATTCCCTGGGAGATTCAAAGCCCCACCGGCTCCTTCTCCCATCTCCTGATTATAAGTGTCATACTGGTCCAGCCAGGGACCAGACACAATAGTTAGTTGTGATTTTTGTGACCAATCACAATTAGTCAGCACACAGCTCAGATTTTAAATCTCAAGTAGGTATGCTCACAACCGTCAATTCAATAAATAAATATTAGGAAATCATGATCTGCTCAGTGGCATTCTGTCAGAGGGAATAAAGAAAAAACTTGTCCAACAGAATTTTCCACTACACGTTATTTGCTCAGCACAAAGGCTCCAATTGTATAATTGAGAGAACACAGGCAGACTGGTGCACCCATACAGAGCCCCATGGACTTCACTAGGGCTCTTTGACAGGGCAGTTGTTAGCACATGTTCTGTCCATTGTAGAATCTAGGCCTTTATGTGTGTTAAATCCATGAGGAGTGTTGCAAATGGGCAATAACTATGAATTGAATGTGGAGATGAAATATGAGGGTAATATATTCTGACTCTCTGGAGCAGCAAGAGAACGGTCAGGCTAGAACATCCTGGACATCCTGGAGCCCAGAAGATAGAGATTTAGGATAATTAAGATGAGAAGTGGATCACGCATCAGAATTTTGGCAGCATCAAGATAAGTAGGAGTTCCGCCAGTGTTCCAAAGTTGGCAGTGGCAGAACTAAACACAATTGCAGTCAAGGGTCCTCTACAATTTCTGGCCTTGAGATAAAAGTTAAGGTCTGAATTAGGAAGAATAATGGAGCAGTCAGAAGTATGAGTGTCCAAGATAATAATGGTCTTTCAGCCAAGTGTGCTTTCCCAAGTAATTGTACCTACTGGAGATGGGCTGGAAAAGCTGCATGTATCTAGCTAAGCAATGGTCTCATTTGATTTTCTTCCTATCTATATCATTTTTGAAGTGAGATGAGCTTCTGCAAATTCCTTTAGGCCTTCTTTCTAGATTAGTATTACTAGCCCCAGCAAAAAGCAAAAGCATTTGGCATGAAACAAGACTCTAAGCCCTAAATATCATATATAAGAAAAAGAGAGCTGACAAGCAAATGCCTAGAGTGTCTGTGTAAATGGCATATTGTTTGTAGTTTTGTGAAGCAGAGCATCTTGGTGTTTGAAAGCACTTCCTTAGAGGCATGGCTTTTGAAGACTTTTGTGCACCAAACTACCCCAAGACATGCTTTTCTTAGTTTAGCAGACGCATATGTAGGGGCATGTACTGAGGGTGCATTAGTGAGCTTGTATGAACATATGCATGTTTTGAGAGCATGTGTATGTTACTCCTGTAACCTTCCACAAGACTGCGCAAAAGGGGAAAAAAAGCTGAACTGCACTCATGCAAAGAACCAAGGGGGAGTGGGAATCTAGCTACACTCAGGCAATGACTACACTAATGACAAGTCTACAGTATATTAAACCAGCAAAGTGTTCACACTCTATAACGTAGTAATCATTTTGTGGGGTCTAAAGCATCAGCTTTGAACACTATCAAATATAGTATATCTGCCATTTTTTAATTAGAGTAACTAAACAAGGGATCAAACCAGATTTACAGAAGAGTCATTCTGGAATCAAATGGCATGATTTGCAAATAACTAAGGAACTTTATTATTACAATTTTCAATTATAATAAGAACCACCACCACCTAACACTACAAGACTGGCATTCGCAACTTGAAATTTCAAGCAGCAATTTCTCATTTGATCCAGAGTCCAAGAGAAAGTGAATCTATGAAATAGGTTGGCTCAAGTGGATATGTTGTATCAATAGGCTGTTCCAACAGATTGTAGCATTATCACAGGTGATTTGCACTGAGATAAATCTCTCAGCTCCACATGTATACTCACCTCACAGGAGGTACCACTGTACCCTGGAGGACACTGACAAACCTCCACAGCCGACGCCAAATCTCTGCCAGTTGAATAACGATCAGCAACTTCAAGGCTAACTCCACTCAACCTGAGATTAGATTAACAAAAATAAAATGGTTAACTCACAGACCAAGTATAGAAGGCAGATCAGTACGCTTGAATGCAACTAAAAGTGAATGGGGAGATTCTGCGTGCTGTTCTCATTTACTTGCTTAAATATAGGAAGGTATTCACTGTCTCAAATTCTCTAGCCTAATGGCAGAAGGCATGTAACTATTTCTGTTCATCATGTGAAGAAGAGTATGGTCAGCACAAACTTGAAAATTCACAATACTGTAGGAGGAAGGCTATTCTTGGCATGCAAGTTGCATGCTTTAGCTTCAATTACAAATGTACATATAAATAGCCTGCTTGTCGCAAATGAAGTAGCAAAGAATTTTACACCATAAAATCACTTTCTCCTGCTTAAAACATTACATTACTGAGCTTTGATTATGGGGTCTTTTGCTTCTGAAGATTTGCCCTTTTGAAAAAAAGATGTCAACTTTTCAGCTCTGTAAAGGAGGAATTCTAAACCTTGCACATGAGAAAAATAATATCCTATCATTAGTTCCAGTTCTCCATATGTCACAAAAAGAGAAGAGAGAGGCACAGGAAGTTTCTATTGTTTCCATAATCTTGCAGCAGAAAACTGAAAAAAAATGTTAAGTCTACCTTTCTTGAAATTGTTTTGGTGCTGCAGCAATTTGGCTGATATTTATCTCAGCAGCAACTAACCCTAAAGCCCTACACTAGTAACTTTCTTTCAGTTCCTTTGAAAAAATTAAAGAGTCACATAATCAATATTCACTGTACCGAGTCAGAGAAAATGCTACAATCTTCCAGTGCCCTACATAAATAATTTGGCTGAATGTTACATATTATTTTTATTATTTAAGATGACGTTCAATCAAAAATGTATAAATCAGCAAATCAAGTAAGTACCGTCATCACATCTGACAGCTATTTTAATAATAATTTTAGTTCTAAGTGACCCCATCTTCTTGCATGCTGCAAAAGACTGCAAATCTTTTGATGAGTCTTGGAGGGGAGGGAAGTTGTGGAATGTCCATCATTGGAGATTTTTAAGAGTAGGTTAGAAAAAAAAAAACACGTGTCAGGGATTATCTAGATGGTGCTCATGGGCGTCTGGTAGCCTAGGAGGTGGAAGGCTTTGCCTTCCCAAACCTCCAGGCATGGCCCCACCCACACTCTGCCCCCAGAACACCTGCTGTAGGCATTCTGGGGGCAGAGTGTGGCTACCCCCAGCACTCTGTCTCCCTGTGCTCCGGGGTGGGAGGCTGGAACCGTGCAGCCTCCTCCTCCCCAGTGCTTGGGTCTGGGGAGGCTGGGGTATGCACACTTGCCTCCTCCACTTCTTTCCCCTGCTTGTGGTGGTGAGGTGCACGTACTCAGTGCACTGCCCTGCCTCCTCTCCTCCCTGTGGTGGAGGGTGTGGCCTCAGCAGAGGGGGCAAGGCTGTAGGTGGGGCTGAGGGCCTGCCTTCTCCAGTCCTAGCTGCACCGACCATCCATGACTGGTGCTTAGTCCCCATGAGTGCAGAGTACTGGAACTGATGACCTCTCAAGGTTCCTTCCAGTTCTAATATTCTGTCATTCTATGATTCTATACATCCCTGCTGTGCCCTGTTCCAGAGCTATCCCTCTGATAGTTAGCAGGCTGAGATTTGTGGGGTTAATTCCCAGCCAGGGCTCAGAGAATAGATATATATGGGAAGTCACAGAATTTCCCTCAAATATGGACTTGTGGACCCATTGGCCTGACTGGAGGTGCCCCCTACCTCTAATATAGAAGTCAAACTACAGCTATGATTCAGAAGTATTACATTTGAATTGGTGAGATACAAGCCTTAAAGGATGCCTTGGTTCCTAGAGATTGTTGAAAACTTTCCACTGAAATGCATTTTAAAAAGAGAATGGCTTTTTGACACAATGCCAATTCTTGTGAAAAAAAATCAATGTTCACTAAAATACTAAAAATTATTTGGTTTTCAAACAAGCAAGTTTGGTATTTTGCCAAAAACTGGAAAAAATACATTGATTTGGAAAAATATGAAAACTCCACACAGACACACAGTAAAATCCCCCCAACCAGCTATACAGGCAGTCCCCGACTTATGTCGGATCCGCACTTATGAACGGGGCTTTTCTCGCCCCGGAACTCATGGGCGGCGGGTCGCCACCCGTGTCCTCCGGGGCGAGAAAAGCTTCTCCCGGTCTCCCTGGTCTGCTGGGGGGGGGTCCAGCAAAGCCGCTGGACCCCCCCAGCAGACCAGGGACACCCGAGCAAAGCCGCCCAGGCATCTGTGCTTTTTCTTTTTGTGCAAGAAATGTTTGTGCGCGGCGTTTGGCCAGGAGCAAAGCCGCCCAGGCAGCGGGACCCCCGCCACCTGGGCGGCTTTGCTCCTGTCCCCCTGGTCTGCTGGGGGGGTCCAGCAAAGCCGCCCATGAGCTCCGGGGCGAGAAAAGC